GTCGTAAAACCTTTTTTGGCTATTAAGCTTCACACCTACGTGGCATGGAGTCCACCAAGTCCTGGCAGCGCTTTGGGGGGAATCTGCGCCCACGCGTCCGGTACAAATTGTCAAAGCTGCGACTTTGAAGTCGGGGATTTCTTTGCCACATATCGCTTGATGTCCCCCCATAAATATTTCATCGGATTTAAATCCGGGGACTGTGCTGGCCACGACATTACATCAATGTTTTGTTAAATAAACCAGCTCTTAGCCAATTTGCTGGTATATTTTGGGTCGTTATCCTGCTGGAAAGACCATTTTAAGGGCATATCCTACTGTGCATAAGGAAGCATAACATTTTTTAGTATGTCCACATAGACGTGTTGGTCCATGATCCCATAGATCATATGTATGCGACCCACGCCGCTGTACGAAAAACAAGCCCATACCAATATTTTAAGGCCACCTTGGTTAACGGTCTTAAGAGTGTGGTTTGGGTGGTACTCAGTGTTTGGGGGTCGTCGGACATACTGTCTTGAGCCTGTCCCACCAAACAAGACCAGTTTGGACTCATCTGTCCAAAGAATATTGCGCCATTTCGTCACTGGCCAGTTCAAATGGCTTTTGGCAAACTCCAATCGAGCTTGGATATGCCTTTTACCAAGTAATGGCACCTTTCGGGGGCTTCGCGCATTTAAATTTCCATTTACTAATCGAAGGCGAATGGTGACGTCGCTGATCCCCAACTTCAGCTCCACTTTTACATCCCTAGAAGATGCAAGAGGATTCGCTTTGCTGAAGCACACTATTCGTCGGTCCTTAATATCGGTTGTTTTTCGTTTGGGCCCACGTGTTTTGGCCTTCCAATCATATTTAAATGGCATTGGATGCCATAAATGGCATTGGATACCATTTTGGTAGAACAATTTACCATATCTTGGATTTTTTTTATAGGTTTTTTCCTGCTTTCTAAGCTGAACTATCAAATTCCTCTCTTCCTCTGAACAGTGTTGTCCTCTACCCACTAAAATTAAAATTTTTGCATGGTTATTGTGTATTTTCATTTAAATTATATTAATAAACTCAAGCAGTCTCACTTTTTGCAAAATTTTTAATGTTTTCGGCACTTTTTGTGGATTAAAATGAAAAACTGCTATTATTATGAACAGCCAAAAACTTGTGATTTTGCACAAGAATGTCCAAAAAACGGAAATAAAAAGCAAATCTAATGAAACTTTTTTAGTTTTCCTATCTCTATATTCCATTTTACAAAAAAATTGATCAAGCGATCAACTAACGAAAAGGAATATGCTAAAATTACCGTTGTTTTACTTCGTTGCTATTGCACTGCTATTATTATGAACACAGCTGTATACGGCTGTTCTCAGTCTGACCAGAGCTTTTTCATAAAAATATGTGTACGTATAACTTGCGGTTGAGTGAACATTGACACTCCTTATTGTCCATAAAGTCTTCCAAGTCGTATATGTAATTGGAAAAAAAATAAAGCCTGCCTCAAGAGCCCTTAAAATATCACTGTTTACATATATCATTACTTATAAAACTGTATAGTACTGCCCTATCCAATTGACTTCGTATAGCGAGAATAGAAAATCCATATAAAACTAACGAGTTTTACTTTTGTTTTTCCCCAGCTTCCACTCATTCCAGCATCGCTGTCTCGCTTTTGGCCAGCTTTTTGAGCTGTCAGCTGTAGCAGCTGCGCTCGATTATAGCTCACTTCAATCGAATTGAAATTGTGCACCAGCACACTCGGGCAGATGTGCTTATGTGTGAGACATTTCTAGTTGCGTTGACTTGCTTTTAGTCACAGCTGCAGGCCGGTTGTGTCATTAACCTATAAAAACGTGTTCGCTCAGAGTGGCAGTGCGAGCGAGAGAAAAGATAGATTGGAGGGAGCGGCGGTGGGGAAGATAGTTACCTCCTAGCAGTGGTCTTTAACACTATTGCACTCGAGCGCCACTCCCCTCTTTCTTTATTTAATTTCAAATTAATGCCAAGTCTACGAAAATAGCCAGCAAGAATGCAGCACACATTTGCATATACATGCAAATAGCGAATGGCGACGTCACATTCGATTGTGAGTAACTTGCAAAATCGGAACTCGGATTTATAAATCTCTGAAATAAAAATCACCCCTAAAATTTTATCAATAAATAAAATTGAGTTTATGCATCTCAAGAAAACTAGAGTGGAGTTTATTGAAATAGTCGTGGATACTTTCTTTTGAGTTCACACATTATTTGCAGTAACATTTAGTAGGTGGGTAAAACACATATGTACATGTTTTTTTAGGTCAGCAACCTTTCGATTTTATTAACATAACTCTAGAGTTTAATTTCTATTGCTTTAAATTTGGAGTGACAAAATATTGATATGCTCCGAGTGCGATATCTTAATGTCTTAATGACAGTTTCGCGAAAATATAAATAAATACGGCTAAAAGTCAAAGTCAAGCGACTGTCAGAGGGACTTATCAATGTCAGGCGGAATTCTCGCGCTGCAACTACAAACAAACAAAACAAATAGCCAGCCGCAACAACAACGAACATCTCGTTTACAACAACTGTGGACACAATGTATCCGATTGTATGGGTGGGGTGGGGGGTGGTGGGCAGTGGGTTTCGGCAAAGAGCGAACACAATTGCAATTGAATCGGAGAGTGGGAGAGAGCTCCGCTCATTAATTGGAGACTCGGGTTCTTGGCGAACGAAGTGCTTCGTGTTCGCCTGATCGCGATTGTCGATTGCTGACAGCAACAACTACCGCAGCAACAACAACTCACACCACTGTGAAATGGCGGCACAAAATCATTGACCTCAATTTTTTCGTCATGCGACACAGACACACTCACACACACAAATACGCGCCGGTAATTGCATCGGTGTGGTCGAGTGCAAGTTGAAATAAAAAGCTGAAAAATATAAATAAGAAAAACTTGTCAACTGGCGTTATCGTTCGCAAGTACGGGTACCTTATTTAAATTTTTCGCCATTGTATAACTGCTGTTCACCTTTATTTGCGGCCGTCCTTGAGCATCGGGATTCGCTCTAAGCAAATTATGTCATAGAAAAGCACAAAATATCGAGCAACCCCAGAATGTTTGACAAAGGAAATGCAAATAAGCCCGTCGGAGTGGAAGCTAAATGAAATGAAATGAGCTGAGATGAAACGAGCAGCAGTTGTGCAAAGACACGCACACGAGCTCGATGCTGTTGTTGCAACACATCTCTTTTTCTGGGGGTAAGGTCATGTACTTGAGCTTTTGCTCCGCCCAGCACGTACGCCAGAGCGGGACAGCAGCTACTGCCAAAGTCCTTGTGGTTTGTTTGGCCTTTTTACTCGACTCTGGCCCAGTTGCAGTTGCAGTTGTGACCCAGTTCGGGATTTCGGGTGAGCCAAGTTTGAGCTCGAGCATTGGGCACGGACAATGGAACACAGATTACCAAAGGTTAAGGTTCTCCAATCGCCATTAGATAACGGAGGAAATCCTTAGAGCTGATTAAGATCTTTTATTTCGTTTGGTAGTATGAGGTTGCGAATTAACATAGATATGAAATATTTAACACCAAACAAGAGTGTAAAATACGATAAGCTCATCTGAATGTACGAGAATTTATTTAGATTAGGAACTCAACACTGCTTTCAAATGTGATATGAACAAGTTGTATACAAAAATTTTTACGTAATTTGCATTTGCCACAATTGAGATTTGGGTTTTTAATTCTTTTAAACGACAATGTACCTTTAATCGAACTGGAACGCATAAAAAATGCAATTTCAAAAAACATCGCACATTGAATCTGAATTTCTCTTGGATTAAAATGTAATGTAAAGATCTAGCTTAACATACAGTTCAATTTCCATTACCTAATCTACGTAAATTTTCGGAATAGTATTTTTCCCTTTTTACCCTTTCATTGCTAATAAGGTCATCTGCTTGTTAAACTGTTCTATGCCATATGGATTCATCGTATACTAGCCCATTGTCGTACCCAGACTAGCCTTGACCTGCCCCAATCGTCTGCGGATCCAGTCTAGCACTGGGGCGAACATAAGCCCATGACCCAGACGACAACGAAGACGCATCGATTGCAGATACTGCCCTTGAACTCCCGCCCACGTCCTCATTCCAACTGGGTCAAATGCGAATGCAAATGCATGTGCTGTCCTGCTGCTGCTGCTGCTGCTGTTTTTGCTCCTGACCTGACCTGGTTTCCCCAATTGGCACGAGGTCAGTGCCACAGCAACGAGCAACGAATGAAGGCGAGCACGAATCGCCCGAGGTGACGTCACCGCAGCAGCACTCAACAATTGCAGTTGCAGCGCAAGCAGGAAGCGAAGAGTCGACGAGCCGAAGAACCGAGGAACCCGAGAAGAGAAGAAGCAGAGGGGCAGCATTCCTGCAGTTTTCCCTTTTCCGGCTGCTCGCTGCGGGGAGGCCCTAAATATAGAACTTCTTGAGGAAGGTTCGAGCTCGAAACGAGCGTTGCATCAACAGCGGCGGTGGCAGAGGGCCACCAAACCGCCCTTATGGCTGCACATGGCCCGGTGCAGTTGTGCCAGCGTCCACATGACGAGCACTCTTCCATGACGCTGCTGATAATGCCGCACAACAATGCTGGCTGGCAGTGTGCGTGTTGATTGCACTCCCCAGCAATGGGCCCGAAGATCCGGAGAACCAAAAGAAGAAGAAATACCATAAAAAGTGCTTCATAAAAGTCGCTGGGCAATAAAATATAATTAGTAAGCCTTGGCACTCCAGATACAGAACATGTACGTTTTCCCGCAGAGAAAAGGGGGAGGGCGCGGGATATCCTACCCTGAGGCAGGTCGAGCTTCGTTTTTCTCTCGTTTAAGATAAGTATCTATAGTTTTCAATGGAATCAGCAATCTGGGGTTGAAGGTTCATGGTTTAGTTTATATCCCAAGCAAATAAATTGTCTCCTTTCAAATTCAGGGAATAAGGTGCGCCCTTAAAGCTCTTGAGGTCTTACCTGATGAAATGGAGTTGGCCGAATCACTACGCGGCGTGTGCTGCATTCCCAGGACGCCTACTCCGCCTCCACCCACTCCACCCCCGCCACCACTTCCTACGACCCCGATGAGGCCGTTGGCGTTGCCGTTCGCGTGGTGGAGGAGGCCCATGCCGCCTAAGGCGCCCCCGATGCCGCCCCCTGCGCCCAGTCCGTTCTGCTGCAGGTGGAGCGGGGTGGTGGGCGTCGAGGGGGTGGTGGAGTTGATGAGGCCGTGGCCGTTCTGCATCTGCTGCTGCATCCCGTTGAGCCCCCCGTTGAGCATCCCGTGCCCGTTGGCCAGCGCGCCCAGGTTGGTGGCTCCCGGCACGTAGCCGCCGTTCACGCTCCCGTTTCCGCTCCCGTTCCCGTTCCCATTGCCGTTGTTGTTGCCATTGTTGTTGCCGTTGATCGGGATGATGGTCGTCTGGGCGGGGAGGGTGCTGGAGCAGCCGTGCATGGCCAGCGTGATGACGCTCTGTTGCTGCTGCTGGCTGAGGCCGTTGCCGCCGGAGCTGCCGTACGCTCCGGACTCGTTGCCGCACAGCCAGAGCTCCTGGTCGCAGTAGTCGTGCGAGTCCAGCGACGAGGGCGACATGTTCACCCCCGAGGGCAGGACGAGCCCGTTCGAGGAGGAGGTGACCTCCGAGGAGGACTCCTCCGGCAGGCGCATGAAGCCGCCGTTGTTCGACCAGCGCCGCTTCATCCTCTGGTAGCCGATGGTCGCCGTCTTGGGGCCGTTTCTCAGATCACTTCGCGTCGGCTGGGGACAAGGGCTTGTCCCTGGCAGTTGGTCGGTAGGTGGAGAGCTTTCCTCTCCTGGTAAGATCCTCTGTGGCTCTGCGAAGCTCGGCAGTGGGGTCCGAGGTTCTGGCTGCCTCTGGCGCTGGCGGTGGCGTTGCTTTGCGACGGAGTGGTGACTGCTCTAGTATTTTTTGCGCACTTGCTTGCGTTCAAAATACATTTTCGCCCGAAGTGCTGCTTATGCGGTACGCGGGACAATCAGAGCTGCAATAAAGAGCGGGTGCGGGTACAACCCACAAAGATGAGTCGAAAGTGTCCCAAAGAAACCCGTTCTCCGCTCGGTTCGAGCTGAATGTTCCTTCAACATTTTGTGGTCACACTGGAAACGAGACGGTTCAACGCACCTGGGCGGGGGCAAGCTCATGAAATTTTCATTTCATTTAATTGCAAATTTTTGCTCTACCTTGAACACGGCGGCGCTGGGCTCGAGCCTCGAGCTGAGCCCCGGAGAGAAGCGAGAAGTGAGCTAGCTAACCCAGCCCAGCCGAAAGGAATACGTAATTCTTGAATAGATCAACCCCAAGCCGGCCCGACACATGTTGCGTATCTTGCGGGTAAATCTCCGGCTCGTTTAGCGGGAACTCTTTTGCAGAGATTGCAACATTTGATAGACCATCTCCAACAGAATTTATGGCCACATGTATATGAGTTGGACCGACAGCAGAATAGATTACCTTACTTTCGCAACAATTAATCTGTTCTTTAGTGCCGATTTATGGTCTATGCGAATCTCGGTCACATAATTGTCGCCAAAATTGATGGTTCTTCTGTGCCGCGTTCTCAAATTTCTACTGAACTCGGATTGTGTTATGTTTTTCCGAGCAAGACTATCTATCATTTTAAATGGATTTTGTTCTAACTTCCTCATCCCAACCAATCAATTTTATTTCCCTATTTGCACACATTTTTTGTGTGTGTAACTCTGTTTGAACACTTGTCTCACTTATCTAAATGTCTTGACAATCGATTTTGTTTACTTTTTCCATCCTCAATGTCCGATGCATGTTTATAGCTCAAACAAAGTGGGTAAAGCAAACAAAAGTAGTCGGCAAGGGAAACGTGGAATCCAGACAGTTGAGGAAGTTTCCGACTAACTTTTACTCTTCACTGGAATCCTGAGATGAATTTCCCTTTTAAGCTAACAGAGCAGTTTCGGTTTGGTAATACACATTGTAAAAACTTAACGACTCGCAGTTGACATTAACTATTTTCCATTAAACAATCTTTTCAACTATTCGTCCCACTTGGAAAGCGCTTAATTGCCAGCAGCTAATTAGTGAAAGTCAATCGATAAGCTGGACAATTGGCATAAACATTTAATGTAAGCAGCATATAGTAAGCCACTCTGAAAATTGTTGAGCTGTTAGTCATGGTCGGGTCAGTGGGAGATGCGGAGTATTCGAGATCTTGAGCCCGAGAATCTCTCGCATTTCGACTGATTTTGCAATGCAGGGCCAGCAATGCGATTGGACAGCCGCTTGACTCATTCTGCGACTTACAGGTGAATCATTATTCGGGTACTGGATATCGACAGCTCCGGGCTGGGCGTCCCCTCCCCGAGCACTCTTGTTTTAGGGGCTTACCGCCATTAAGAGACCGGCACAACGCAGTAAAGCAGTAACGAGAGGGAAAGAGCCAACGACAATAAAGCAAAGCAAAAGTCCGTAACTTTTCGACTCTCCGCGTGTTGTAAAGCACCAAAACTGGTTTCGGGCCATACCTTTCCGGCTGCGAGCGAGCGAGACGGGGCGAAAGCTTAGAACAAAATCGAAAAGAATCACGATCAAGCCCAAGAAGAAGAAGCAGCCAGAAGAAGAACAGCAGAAAAGAAAAGAAAAGGGAAGGGAAGACTAGTCTAAGCTTGCGTGGGGCATGGGAGGGCGGGGGGTGGGGCACTGAGCTGAGATTTTGGCCCGCATTAAGGAAAAAACCTGTCGCCCTCGCTGCCGACGTCGGCGTCGACTGAATTCAGCGAGCAGCAACACAAAAACAATACAAACAGGTTGTTCTTGGCGTTTTTGCTTTGTTGCCTACAAAAATATTTTTGAAAACATCAGAAGAAGCAGCGAGCGGAGCGCGTATTTATCGCATCGGGAATATACTATACTACACACATTATATATATATAAATGTATATGTGTATATACGGAGTGTATATGAGCGAGATGCGCCGCGATATGTGTATGTATAAACGACATTTATGGCATTTTTGTTGTTTTGCTGTCTTGTTGGTTGTTGCTGTTGTTGTTGTTGATGTTCTCTGTTGCGTTGCCCCTTCGCTTTGCTCATTTTGCTTTTGTGCGGTTTTCCCCCCCTTCGGGTTGGGACTGGAGTACAAAAGGCGTTTGAAAAAAGAGTCGGAAAGCTAAACGCGCAGACTCAAATGACTTTCCTTTCTCCTGCTCCCCTTACCCACTACTTTACTACTCGCCTTACTATTTAGGCTCGGCACTAGAAGGGGTAAAAATAGGAACAAAACAAAACTGAAAATTCTTCTGGCAGCTGAGAGATTCGTTACGCCTTGAGTGATGGATGCATAGCGGGGCGAGGGGGGGCGGGGAGCGGAGGGGGCCGGCATACACCTCTATTTATAGAATCTCAGAATACATAATGGCAATTTCAGCAGTCAGCAGGTTGGGAGTTCTACGGCTGACTTCCCTTCACGTGCAAAGGTCCCATGAGAATGGCGACTCTGAAAGCGAGCTCTGATAGTATCTGAATATCTGGATGGGATCTGCGGTCAATTAGCTCGAGTAAACGTCACGAAAGTCGTTTAATGTATGTACTTAGCTATCCGAATGAGATCAATTAATAACTTTCTTATGATATGGGAAGTAGCGAAAAAGGTATTTCAAATAACTACTACTCTACCTATAGGAAAAAGTTTATGGCCAATATTTGTTGTAAAGATCAATATGTGAGGTACTTCCATGCCTCGGAATTCCATTGATTGAGGACTCAGCCCATTTGACCCCAAAAACCCGGCTGACCCCTGGGCATGCTAGGGATAACCTGCTGGAACATTTCCACTCGGTCGAAAGTATGTCAATGACTGGCACGCGACAACCGACTGGAGTTGCCCCTCTCCCACCCAATCCATGTCCTCACCCCACCCGCCAACTGCCCCAAAAACAACGTCCTCGAATGCAATAAACTTTATTAACAGCGCGACAACGCCAACAATTGCTGTACACGCCACTGAAATCGGTGGGTGGTGGTCATTTGAGCCTGAGGCAGGGCCTCCTGCTTGTGGAGCGAAAACAATTAAACATCCGCTGCCGGACTGTCCAGTAGGCATAATAGGCCCACAAAAACACAAATCCCCATCGGCTCACAGGCACACACTGAAACAAGTACGAGTAGTCCTGCGAGCGGATCCTTTTAATTTCCTGCTGTTATTTCCCTGCACGTAGAGCCAGCGCCGCGTGATTTCCATTTGCCGTGGAGTCCGAAGGGAAAGGGGAGCGACAACATATGCGACACATTCCCATAAACCCATCCTGGGAAGGAGAGCAAAACCATATGATAATGGCCCTGAGGCCACCCAAAAGGCATCGACTAATGTTCTGTGAAAGAAAAATAGGGAGCGAAACGACTGCACGAACCGGAGAAAAACTCTTACTCTAATGATAGTCGTCATTGAGAACTTTGTCTTGCAGAACCACACTCAGCTTAACCGAATGCGAAGTTGCATATTAAGTGTAACATTTGAAGAGTATTATAATTTTAAAAATTCTAGTTTTTAAAGTAAACCCCTGTAAAAGAAAACCTGATAGACCAGGGAAACCTCTGAAGGAAATCTATTATTTTAAAGCCTTTCCAAAACTTTGCTCAAAGAATGACCTCGTTTTTTTTAGGTAATGCCTGTTTCCTGCGATTTCGGATTCAGATTGGGGTATGGCCAAACAAATCAATGTGAAGAGTGTTTGAAATACTTACATATATCAGACAAAATGCTGACAGCTTAACGGTTGTTTCTGGCCATATATATGGCCATCTCTCTCCAACCACCGATCACAACAAAATCCAAGCCAAAACTGGTTGAGCTTTACTTTCTGCGAAATCAGTTGGCTGTATTTTTTACGGTTGACTTTATTTTGTTGTTGGTTTTCTTTGGAAGTTTGCTGATTTGGTTAAACATGAAAAATGGTGCCATTCAATTGACACATATCCAATATTTAGCTTAAGACGAAACCAAAACAGGCAAGTGGAGTTCACTTTGATCGGCGTCAGTGAATCACACAGATAGCCTTCTCCTATGGAATTTGATAATTCTGACCCTCAACGTTTTTAATCTAGTAAGGTGTTAGTAGGTATTCAACCACTTTTATAAACAATCTTCCCTAAGTAAGCTCCAACATAAAAGCTTCCCTAGCTTAGCTCATCAGTATCCCTTCAGCTGTTCTTGTTCCCAGCGGATCTGTTGCACATGCTGGATCTCCCAGACTTTCCCGTAGTTAATGTATATATTGTATTGAATTCTGTCAGCCAAAAACTTTGCACACAAAATCAATTAGCAATAAAAGCAAAAAGGCGATAGAAACTTTTTAATGTTTGGCCCGAAAACCGAAAAAGATTTATAGCATTTGGCAATGGCCCATTTTTGGCCCTCCCAGAGCACTTAAACCGCAAGTATGTGCCAAGGCACGCGTTTCAATTAGTGGCATAGCAAATTAATAAATAAAAAAGCCGGCATCAATGTAGAACTCTGGGTGCTTTATAAACTCATTTCAGCCATACAGCCTTGAAGCTTCGAACAGCTATTGATGAATATAAGAATAGATAATAGGAGGAAAAAACCCCGAGCGAAGCGTCACAGCTGGCCCAATGTTTAGGACGACTGGTGGAGGTTGATTGGCCGGCTCAAAAATGCGCTTCAATCATTTCCTTTTCCGGTTAAGCGGCGTCTCTCTCTCTCTTTCCATTCCGCGCCGTCTACGATTTGCATTTATAATCGATAATAGCATTTGCATATGTGGATCTGACTGATTGCCTGACCTTTTCGGCAGCGAAGAAGACACATTAAGGCGAAAAAGAATGACAAACCAGTGTGACAAACAACTGCTCAAGATAAGATCTTAAAAAAGCTTGTTTGAGCTTCCCTTACCCAGAGTGCGAACTAACCCGGTTAAAAGGAATCGAATTGCACTTGGGTTGCGGGGATTGGAATTGCGGAGTTGGTGGATAAAGGTAGCTGGAATGCCTTAAAAATAGGGAATTTTATGTCGTTTTACGAATTAGTCAGACATTTCATTAGTTTTTATAGAAAAAGTCAATGCCGAGGTCACAGCCGTAAATGGCTCACGTCGCCATACACCTCTGCCCCTTAAAAACACAGAGCCAAGCTGGACAAAGTTACAAACGCGATTTCGCGATGCTCAGCTAATCAGCAACAACAATGAAATTGTAGCATCTACTAGGGAAATTGTGGAAAGTCGTGGAAAATCTTAGTCATCGTCATCGGGCATTGTGTGCGAAAGTGTTGACAGCTCGACTTTGTTGCTGGCCCGTGAAAGTCCACAAAAGCAGTGGAGAGGAGGCGAAACTCGCTCCGAGCTCAACTGCTGTGCGGCAGGCTACTGCTAATTGCACATACACACTCGGATCGGACGACAAGGGAGGAGGTGTTGGTGGGGTTGGTGGCAGGAAAGCCATCCAGCAGAAGAAGGCTGACAAGATAAGGCACTCTTTGCAATTGCCACAAGAGCGCATGCAATGGCACCTGTTTGCCATTCCCGCTCCCCGGGGAAACCGACGTTCAGACGTTCAGGGGTTGGGAAAGCGGGGGTGGTGCACTGTCTCATGACCCACTGGTCTGCACCCATCGATGCGACCCATGCGAGGTTACATTGAACCTTGTCGAATGGCAGTTTTTACGTGTTTGCATGTTACACTTTGCAAATAGTTATGATGTGCCGTGAATAGTGTGATGGGGTTGCTTGACGGTCCCTAATTGTATACGATTAGGTGGGTACGGGGCGAATTAAGCATGAGTGTTGCTTTAATCCCATTAATTAGTATGCTTAACAGAGTTTTCAAAAATACGAAAAATAACTAGGCAAATGACTTCTGACAGAAAACTTATTCGTGGCCTAAGTAGTGTGTGGTTTTTGATATATTTCAACAGCTTTAAAAGCCACCGAAAAACGACATAAACAACTTCCGAGTGTCATACAATGATATAAACCCGCCCATTAAGCCCAGAACCTCGGACTGTGAGTGCAGCGAGGAGCCAGACACAAACATTGGGATCTCGGAACGCTCAACGTGGTAGCCGGCATGGGTCGCAGAACACTCGGCCCCATGTATAGACATACATGTGTCTATATATTTGCATAAAATCGCATTAAAATTTGCCATTCTGCCAACTTTAATGTACCATAAAACACAAACAACAGCGGCGAAGACGATGACGATGACGATGTCGACGCCATAGGAAACAAGTAACTTTTTCTGTTGTTTGCTTAGTGTCCAGAAAGTGTAGCAAAGGAAAAAAAGCGAATAATTTAATGTGCAAAAAGCGGTAGAGAAAGGAACACGAGGAGCGGGGACAGAAAAGAAACGGCAAAGAATTCGAAACTTTAACCAGTCCCGCCCAGGAAACGAGGGTCAAGGGGGGCGGGTGGCGGCGAGGACGGGGGACAGGGGAAAATTAATTGTGGGAGAGTCTAACTAATGTGGGGGACTCTGCTCCAGAGCCGGAGTCTAAGCCCAAGCCTCGCGGTTACCTAATGCCTCATTAGGCGCCTAAAATTAGGCAAGTAAGACCCAAACGCATCAGGGACTCGCTTCGTAAGCATAAAATATGTCGCACAACCTATTATTTTTACCAAATTGAGGTAAGACTAATAAAATGTAATCAAATCTACCAGAAACCTGCCGTAGGTACAGCTTAGAACAAAGAACCCTTGAAATAAAACCAAAAAGGCTGTGTTTATCAGCTGGATTTGATTTGTGCTCAAATTCAACTTCGATTCCCTTTATATTAAAACTATGGTTAAAGAATTTACAAATTTATTATTAGAGCTACTAAAACGAAATCAGCTAACATAAATTGAAAATGTTGTCTATTTTCGAATTGGAATCAAATATATTTGCCGAGTTAAATAAAAGTCTATTTAAATTTCCTCAAATTTGTTTTTTTTTCTCCCCAAATCGTTTCACAACAACTTCACTTAAACTACCTCTCCAGCTTAATTTAATTGCGCAATTATCCAATCGAATTTGTTTACACCGAGTTGAACCTCATCAACAGAATATTTGCGTAAATCAGAGTAAATCGCCGGCCTGAGCACAATCGATGCCCACTTGAGCATCGAAATGCGAGTGAATTTATGGATATCCATGCCAATTACGCAGTCAAGTGCCTTTCCAGACCTACATAAATCCCCCTGCACCAACGACCTATCACTATAGGAGAGGCACATATTTATTTATGTTCACGCAGGCGAAATTTACAATTTTCAGCGTTCACTCTTTAATTGGCCGTCTGTCAGTTGTCATGACAATAATTAATGTATTTGCAATCGAACGTCCATCCCGAACATGTGTAGTATCTTTCTGGGACATCGTAACGTTTGTATCTGCTATATGTATCCATCTATGCTGTGCGAATGCTGTGTGTTTTGGCATTGAAAAGGCCGTCTGGTAATGTAGTTTCCATTTCGGCTGGACGGAAAAGAAATGGAAATTGGTTTTGCCCACACGAGGTGACAAGTGAGCCAAGACAAACACATTAGGGCCGGGGAATCCGAAAACGGTTTCCTTTTCCGAGTAGTGAACTTGTTGCTCGATTCACACCTATCGCTAAGCAGTTGACCACAAAATGTTGCTAGGATAACGAGTCAGTTGGCCTAATCGGAGTCCCGGGGCCCACACTCACCATATGCATCGATATAGTGCGCCAGTTCTGCTACTAATCCACAAGTATCCATGGGCTCCTGGAGGGGTATATTTTCCAGTTGCGAAGCACTGTTCGGAACCAAGGTAAATATCTTTTCACTGTACAACCGTGGCGGGGACCCAGAGCACAAATCCCTCGCTCGCACTCGCGCACTATTTTCGAGATAATGGGTAATGTGGGGGATGCGGATATGTACCCGGCTCCTGGCGGCCGAGGGCGGGGGCGTTTCACAGACGGCGACCAGACGGGTGTCTAAACGTCGGTCCGCTGCCTTGTTGATGTTTGATTTCGAGTTCTGTCTTATTCGATTGCCTTTTGCTTTCACCGTCGAACTGCTTCGGGAATCTTTCCTATTTACACTTCGGTCTCGGAGAACTGCTTCATCCGCGATTTGCACTATGCAGCCACTATATAATATCTGTACAAATATGAATATATGCTCTCGATTTGCGTTATTTAAAGAAATATTTCCTCTGCCTTTTTCACCACGTATCTTTTCTATTTTCTCAGGTTCAGCTACAATGCACTTTATTTTAATTTCTGCCGACGAATTGCACTTGTTGTTTTTGTTGTTGTGGGGAGGGGGGGACTGGTATTATTTGGGACTTTTCTAACAATTTCTCATAAATAGAGGTGTGTGTATATAGGCGATTTAAACATGTATTTTATTTGGTTGCAACATTTTGGGTTTTTCTTGTTTGAAACGTTCGGTGTTTTGGGGAAACCGTCTGTTGGTTTTGTGTTTCGATTAGAGTAAGTTGTGTTTTCTATCTTTTGTTTAGCGAACGCGATCGGTCGGCGAGCGTGCGAGCGAACAACCGTCAACAACAACTTCTAAAAAAATATTAAAACAGTGAGCGTAAATTCTCCCGCTGGCAAGCCGTCCAACTCTTGGTAGAGCATAAGGTCGTCGCTTCGGCTCAGTCAGTCCGTTAGCAACACTTACAGTGAGTGTGAAAGAAACAGCAACAGAGTGTGGGGTTTAAAACAGTGAGCGAAACAAGCTAAACGTTAAACGCAAAATTCTCCGGGTGGCAAACCACCTCCAAGTCAGCGGCGTCGCTCGGTCGACGAGCGAACTCACCACATACTCTCTCTTTCTCGCACGCACACCATCGTCAATAAGGGGCCCGCAGCGAAAGAGCGAGAGTCGAAAGCAGAATGGGCGCTAAACGAGAATGTAAGGCGCAGGCAACGCTCACTCACACCGATGCACGGACACACTGAGCGAGCGGCTTGAATGAAAAATGCCGATGCAATCGTGAGATACTCTTTGTTCACTCTCCGCCACGTATCTGAGTCCGTGAGTATTTATATCTGTGAGTGGCGAGCTAGCGTTCATGGGCGGGTATGCGTGAGCAGCCCACATTGCTTGGGTGTGTGAGTGCCATCATCGCTTTCCTTTCGCGCTGCCTTTATTTTCGGTTTTCTACACTTATTTGTTGTGTTTTTTCGTCGATTTTTCGTCGCTAGTTTCGGGTGCACAAGTGCAAATTCACACGTACATTCGAAATGTACTCGCACAGTGGGACAATGAGGATCCAATTGTTCATTGAAAAAGTCCGAAGTAAAAAAACTCTAGGCAGTATGAATGGTACGCAAAAGGTTGACAGGTAGCTCAAGGGTTCAAAAGATTTTGTGGTAGGATTCCTTATCGGGGAATCAGAAAAACAAATTTGAAATTTTTTATAAAAAATAATAAAATTAGAATGCGCAAAAGGCTAGGGAACCACTTCCCTGTACAAACTTTGAAGTGCAAATTGGTAGGAAAGTTTGCTTATTTGGCTTTTTTAATATATCTCAAGAAACACCATTTAGTTATGTAACATATGTATGTACACACATACATATATCGAAAATTGCAGTGAGAATTCGAGCATTCGTGATATTTTACTAAAATGTTCAGTAAAAGGAACAAAGTATGATAAAATGTTGTTCTTTTGTGGCTGGGATCAAATCGAGAAGACCGAGCATACATTTCACCTGCCCAAAAATACATTCCCACGTCAGTTGAATGAGTAATAGACCGATATCGAGTGAGAAAACATCACAAAGTCCTCCGCAGGCTTCAACAAATTGGACAGTTTCCAATTTGCTGCAAACGGAAACCAACTGAAGTCGCCTATAATGTAGACACAAGGAATCGAAAGAGAATATTGACACTGCTAAGACGTAATTGATGGAAAGGCAAGAAGATCAGCAGGGCAAACAGACCGCAGAGCAAAGTAACACAAATCATGCAACAACTACAAATGAATCTATGAGTACGTATGTATACATGTAAAGCCGCCGTCTGCTGGGCGGCGTATAAATTGCACATTTCGAATACATTGTGGTTAAAAAGTAAGCGCAAAGCGAATCGAGATACTCAGATACAGATACGCACACATCGCTGCTGATAATTGTTCCCCCCCTTTCTGCACTCGTTCCCCCCCTCGGTACGTGTTTGTTGTACGTCGGTGTGTGCGATGAGTTGACGCTGGGCAAGTTCAAGTGTAGAATGCAATAGAGAACTGCATTGACCAGAGCGAGAGAGGGGACCCGAACGCGAGCTACGAGCTCTCTCTCTACGCATACGCATAGAAAAGCCGGCAAAATGCAAGGGCAACAGTGCTCGAGTGTGGGTTTGCGGGGGTGGAGGCGCTCATGGTGGTGGTGAGCATGTGGTGAGTTTCGCTCTGTTTGGGGTTGGCTAGACACATTGAACCACAAAAGTTCAAGATGAAAACACAAAATATCAACAATGACAGCTGAGTAGTGGGAACAACATATTTCGGATTGGGGGTTGGGGGAATAGAAGGGGTCTCTCTCTCTCTCTCTCTCTCTCTCTCTCTCTCTCTCTTTGTTTCTCTGTTTCTCTATTTATTTGGCTACGGGGGACACAAACACAAACTCAGCGGCCGTCCATGACTGAGTCTATGATGCCTTTTCCTCTTTTGGCCCTCCTCCACATTCTCCTTTTCCACTCTACTCCCCACCTCCCACCCCTCTTGGCCGACTGCCAAACGACTCTCAGTTCAGTAGTACACTGGAGCAGTTGCTCGAAGTATGGGTGCAACATGTATCTGTGTCTAGCTATATGTATCTCTGTGTCTGCATGTGTGCGTGAGAGAGTTCGTCTAGCTGCGGGGGTGTAGGGGGTTGGGGGAAGGTGGCCGACCGAAGTCATGTGCATGCCGTTTGTTGGGGTAGTTCGCCGGGAAATAAAAGAAATCGGAAAGGGCCGAATGCCATATAGTAAACATAGCTTGAGTCGCATTGACTAGAACACACCCTTTCCAGAAAAGTGGTTTTTATGGTGACTGTTGATGTAAGGTACGCCACAAAGAACTGCTCGGAATGGCTTTGCTATTTTGCTTTGGTTATGGGTTCCAGGAGTTAGAAATCATTTTTTCAGAAAACAGAACTTCAACGTACCTCAAAAATTGTTTAAAACTGCAATAGTGATTTAGTTTTACCATAAATCTTTAGTATTTTACATATAACTACAACAATTGTAGTCCAGAGCACGTTCTTACAAGAAAAGATAAGATAGTTCTTCAACATCCAATTCGAAACAGTTAGCTCTAGGTCGGAACTAGTTCAATATAATACGCTTTATCCCATGGGATAACACCACTCAAAACGAAACCAACAGTTGTTGCAGCGCACAGATACATAATGTATCTGTGCAGCGCTCTCCAGCCATCTGGTGAGTGTGCCTAAGTGTATCTGTGTGCAATTGGCGTGCGAGATAGCTGGATAGAAAAAAGAAACAGCAAAAGAGAAAAACTTGTCTACATGCCTGTCGCACAAGCTGCAAAATTTATGCGAAGACACACAAATCCACTGAACGAGAGACCGACAACGCTGCCGATGTTTGTTATTGTTGCTGTTGTTGTTGTTGTTTTTGTTGTTGTTGTCGTTGTTGTATGGTCGGAGCCTCTTGTTGTTTTTTTTTTTCCTTGCCCATAGAAAGGCTGCACCACTCCACCTCAGCACAACCCGCCACCGCACCACCAACCCGAACCTTGTAGATGCACAAAACCCCGACACAGGCACACCGAAAGAAAAAGCTTTAATTTCAATCAACCCCTACAAATACTGTTGCGATTTTTGTGCTGGCCAACCAGAAAGTCTTCCAGTTCGCAAAATTCATACGAATTTGGCCCAAAGAGCGTTTATAGCTTAATAGTTTTTGATTTTCTCCAATTTTGATCGTAATATTTCTCAGCGTGCACGGACATAATACTATCTGGTTGGATTTTCTTTGCGAGTCTGGTTTGCCTTGTTTGGTTTGGCTTGCTTCGCTTCGGATCGGATCAGTTCGGTTCGCCTTTGGTATGATTTTGACTTTGAATCGGGTGCCATAAAGAGACGGAGGGCGGGTGGCAGGGAGGGGGAGGCAAAGTCAGGTTTAATGTCGTTCAGTGGCGCGGCGACTTTTTGCAGTTGAGGTAGTCAGAGCCACGAGACAAAGGTGGGGGGCCAACTGGCGTTGGGAAGGGGAGGAACGGGTGGTTAGGCGGTTGGGCGGTTGGGCGAACGACGACATCAAAAGTGGGCTGAGGCCGCTCGTGGGCAAAAGGAACGCAGGGCACAAGACACCGCGCGACTGTGGGCAAATAGTCAAACATCGGTGGTTGTTTACCGATAAGCTATGAATGGCTGATGGGGAGTAGCCGGCGGACCGAAGGAGAGCCAGCGACATGGATGTCCGGCCGAAGCGTATTTACTGCTATTAGGTACATGGCCACAACTGGGTGGTGAGAAGGTCGTGTCCCGGCACAGTGGGCCACGTTGGGTTACAAAAAGGCAAAAGTAGTTTAGTTAGTTCCTACAAGATGCCTAACATTTTCATTTAATTTTTTTTTTCAAAGCGTATTAATATATATATACTTTAAATATAAAGTTAAAATGAGTCCAATAAAAATTACATTATGTACAATAATAGTCGACAACCATATCTTCGAATCGTTTCCTGTCTGGAGCAATATCCCTAATGCATTTCTCTTATCAATAAACTTTTTGGGTTCCCTCTTAAATAGTCTCCTCAATTGACCGACAATTCCTTTTTTTTCTTCTTTTTACTTTTTTTATGAGCTTGCATTAGGTTCACTTTAATAAATTGTGACTTCTGTCTCTCTTTTGAATGTTATTCTTCTTACTGCATATTGACATTTCAATTGGTTTTTATCAGCGCAATTTATTTTTACGAATTTCTTTCTGGTTGTCCCTTGGCTCAAAGAGAGCAGGCTTTTGAAGTTTTTTGAAATCCTATATCTAAATAAGGAGACTTATTTAATTTTTACCTTAGTTAGGGCCAACACAAATGAAGCATCAGAAACTTACCTGTAAAAAAAAAAAACAATAATAGATTCATTAGTTTGCGGTTCTGGAAAAATACATATTGAGTTTAACACTAAATATCTCCCTTTCAATTTATCCTAATGATAAAGGTTATTTGCCCAGATTTCATTAACAAGTTCGATCCATTGACAAGTAATTAACAACAATTCTCAACTCAAATCGCCACTTAACACACATTCAGCATCGATTCTGTATTTTGTTTCGCTTTGTTTCTGCTGTCAAATATTTTTCCGTTTTTTTTGGGCCCGGAAAAACCTTGAGCGAGTTAGGAGAGCTTCACGCTTGCCAAGTGTGCAATTTCCCTAGCCCAGCCAGAGCCTGACTAATTTGCATTTCAGAATGCAGGAACGAGGTATTGGGTATTGGATTGACGTGTTATCCAAGCTCCAGTCAATCTACCATATGTCAGTTTGGACTCTGGGAAACTCTGGGAAGAGCACATAAATCTTTATTATTCGCCCGCGCAGCGTGTGACAAGCGACGGCACATAAACATAAATGCGAAATGCAAATTGAATTTGAAATTGGCGAGCCTACACTTTACGGGCTGTCTACAAAAATAAAAAGCTAAATTAAATAAATAATGACAAAAAACCTCAAAATGTCTGTCAGTGGCGAAAAGCTTCCTTCGCTGCGGGAATATTTAGTCCAACATTTGATATATGAAAATATTTCCAACCGCTTTTCTCTAAATGTCCACAGCTAAAATGTCAAAAAAGTATGAAAAGTGAGATTTTTCAGGCACGAAATAATTTGTATTAAAATATTTGCTAGAGTGCATACACATTTTTACTTAAGTTTCGGGATTAAATACTACTTTTAACATTAAATTGATTAATTAGTAAATGTAACTTTTTAGAAGAAACGAAAAGTATGTATGTCTTAAGGGGGGCACCACTCTCGTTTTAAATGTTTTTCTATGTTTGATAGGGTTAATAAACGTCGTTCTGCTGATGGGTGATCTCCTTTTTTGAAGAACACTGAATAGTAATATTTGCCTTCTTATATTGTCGTGCGGGACAGTGTCTCCGAATGCCGCCAAATAAGTTCCTAATGTCAGTGCGAGTGTGTGGCATCCTCCAGGGTGCCAACGATTCTGATCGTAATGCCCACTGACAGCCAGTAGAACCGATGGCATACTAAGTAGGGGATGGGCGTGCCCTTGTGCCGCCAGCTATCGATAACGATTTCCTGCACAGCTAAATAGAAACGCAATACGGCCAAAGCAAAATTCATCAGCATTCAGGGGAGCGGGGGAACCTAACACTTGTTGCCGCCGCAAATCCAAACGCATTTAGTCGCTCTTCTGGCTTAAAAGCAAGTTGTGGAGGGCGGTGCAAGTGCAACACGCGCTTCTGTTTTTGCCGGGGATTGGGGAGCAGATGCCCCAGTGAGCGGGTGACAGCGTTGGCCGGCGAAGAGCTCCTGGTTACAGAAATAGCCACGCATTTGCCCCGATTGGAGCCCCTGTGCTGCCACCAAGCCCCGCCCCCCAACCACTTGCCACCCCGCAAACTAAGGCAACTTGTGTAAATTATTTTTAAATTGCACATATTTAATCAAGTGTGAAGTCTGCTGCGTTGCTGTCGCAGCACTGTGTATGCATGTCAAACAATTAATTAGTGCAGAATTCTCCCGCTGTTTGCTTAATTCGTTCATTTTGTTTTCTTATCCCAAAGTTAGTTTGCCTTGAACTTGACTTGCGGACTCTGTTTTAATAGAATCGTCCTAGCCCACATTACTAATTAAATCTTTGGTTAAATACCATCGTTTTAGTTACTCGTTTCATTGTCAATGTCCAAAAGGGAAGGTCAATTCAGCAATGCTCATGGAAAGTACCTTTGTCTAGGAAACAATTTCCACTTCTCCCCTTTGTCTCTGCACAATTTTTGTTAACAATGAACAATGAACGCGATTTGTTTCAAATTCCAACGATCTGTCACCAGCAACTAATTTAGGCAGCCAGATGTCGCGTTTGCACTCCTAAAATGCATACACACAGCCACAAGTAGGTATTTTATGTGAATAATCGCTCGCCCACCGAGAGTTCATTGAACGAACTGCGACGCAGTTGCCGCGGTTCTTACTCATTTTGGCTTCTCGCTTAGCGCCGAGTTTTACCTAATTAAGTCAACAAAGTGGGAACCCCAGACAGGCACACGCACATCCACGCCACTCAATAATTGAACCTTCCAAAAAGAAATATTTCATTTTTGGCGATGCAAAGATCGCCAAGAAATATCCCTTCTGACATATTATGCAAATTTATAATGGTACAACTAAAGCAAGTCTTATTAAAAAAATAACAATTTTACGCATTTCACGAGGTCGCCATCGTTGTTTGTTATTTTAACTTCCCCTTGTTAACTATTAAGGCTTTATTTAGAATAGCATTGTTCAATAATGGATATCCCTTTTATTGGAGAGTGTATTATCAAATTGTAGTCCCCACTTAAAGTAGCAAAACAAGTAAATGCAATTATTTAGCTTTTCATAATAACAGCAAAATTCAAATTAATTTCGTTAACAAACCGCTTAATGAAATTATTCCAAATAGAAACAACCAAATTATTTAAATTGGGATAACCAAGGGTTATTATATGTCGATATTAGCGTTTTTAATTCGATTTTGACACGAAACAAAATCTTTGGTAAGTGGAGTGTGAAAGGGAGAAGGTCTCCTAGATCGGGTTATTGTAGTTTATGAAGAATTTGAGCTGGTATTATTAAATTTGATGGCCAGGGGAAATTTTCTGTATGCATACTCTAACAAAGATCACTTCGTTCAAGAAGACCAACATAAAATTAAAAGGAACTTTTTAGCATTTTGCTAGCATCGCTCTGCAGTTATAGTTGTCTGGATTCGAGGAGGCCTCGATAGCAGTTTCATAGACTTTTGTTAAAATGTATACTTGATCTCACCACCGATTTTACAGACAAACTCAACATAACACGACGCTTTCGAAAATGGAAAACCTTACATCAGCAGGACTTCTGTGGGACAGCTCCTCTAAGAGGGAGCTGGTGGGATACGAAGCGGCCAAGAACGAGAACTGCATCAACCGAAACTTCTTCGAAATGTACGTGAACTTCCTGTGGATCTTCGCCTGCATCTACATTCTGTCGCGGCTGGCCCTACTCCTTGAACGCTTCCTCGGACCGCGTCTTCTGGCCCAAAAGCGCTGGTGCGACGTCCGGTCGATCAAGAACGAGTGGGAGCTGACCCTGGCGCTGTACGAGGAGGACAAGCGCCAGCTGGGCGCACAGGTGCGCGAGCTGCGCGAAAAGAACCTCAGCCTGGAGCGCGTGATGAACGAGCTGCGCGACTGCAACATCCACCTGATCAGCGAGAACTTCATGCGGTCCGTTATGCAGGAAGAGGTAAGTTTACCTTACTCACATATTCCGACCTTATCCTGTTCAACTTGATCTCTTAAACTTACTCGTGCACTTGGAACCAAGTCATTTAAGTGCCATTCGAACCTTTACTCAATCAGCTTCACATTTTAAAATATGAAACGTGTGACTAACCTATCTAATGATTTTGATGCAGAAACCGAAAACAGCGCCGTCCAACATCTACATCACCAACAGCCACTTCCACCTCACGGGCCAGGTGTTCGTGAACCAAAGTCAGATCGATCTTGGCCTGGATAATGCTCGCGGAAAGGATCTCGACACCTTGGGCGCCCACGGGAAGGGGCCCAATGTGTGGCTGCAGTACCTGAAGATGCGAAAGTGCTACATGGGCCCGATTGCCGATCCAAATTTGATAGCTCCCAGCAGCCCGGAGCATATGCTGCCCATTGTTATGACCACCGAGCAGTTGGCCAAGTTGCAGGGTAAGTGGACACCCCCGTCGCAAAGTGTCACTAACCATGGGTTTTCTTTTAGGCATGATCTAGTTCTTTTTTTGAAGTTCAACGCTGCCCAAATAGCAAGTCTTATTGTTATTTAAACAAAAAACAAAAAGGAAAAAAAATTCTTTTGCATATTAAAATTTAAGTCGTGCTTTACGCATTCAAAATTAGTTGCAATTTTACTTTTTCTGATCAAAATAAAAATTGGCTTAACTAAGCTTCTTACCGATAGTAAGCGATATTAGATAATTAGCAATACACAGTTGGTGAAGTACATATCCGACGGAATCGTTTTCATCTTTTATGGGTATTGCCCAGAAGGATAAACTTTCTTCAAGAAAATTTTGAATACCATTTGACGCACTTGGAACGGAAATGTCAACTAGTCCCCAACAGTTTATTTATTGTATTTGTATTTCAATTTCAATTTCCGTTAAGTGCTTTGGACCAAGCCAAATCGCTTCTATTTGCTTAACCACCTACCACTCGCTCCACCCTCTCCGCCCCCTCTGTTTCCCCTCCCCCGCCCTCTCCCCCTTCCCCTTTCCTCTCGCAGTCTGTGTGTCAACATCTGGCGGAAACGAAACAAAATAAATGCAAAATATGCCTGTCTGCCAGTCTGCCAGTTTGCCAGTCGCTCGGCTGTTTGTTCCAACTCGGACTGCTAAGACGATGACTTATCAGGGCAGAATTAAGCGATTGCTTTCTTCAGCGCTCCTCTCCCATTTGGCGCTCTGCCGGCACTCTCCATTTTATTTTCTTTGCCATGGGGTCAGTGGCAGTTGTCGTTGCAATTTTGTAATCAGTTGCCGGCTCAAGGTTAAATGCTCGCAGGCACAGTGGGGCAAAGTCGGCGGATGCGGGTCCTAGCCGCCCCTCCACCTCCACCTCCACCTCCCGCTTTTCCTGCCCCTTTTACCTTTCCGCTTTCGCCGGTTCGGTTGTCCATTCGGTCACATCGAGAGTCGCCATGTTTGATTTACATTTGCTCGGGTCTACCGCGCTTGTTGTTTTTGCTGTGCGGCTACTTTGTGGGTCATTTGCCTGTCTGGCTCATGAGTACATGCATGCGGCACTTGGAACTCGAATCGGGTTTACTTTGTTTTTTATTTGCGATTGTCACTTCGTTGATTTAGATTTATTGCCATTTAAATGCAATTTCATTGTGTTTTCTGGATCAGTATTGTGCACTGAATTGGGTCTCCTCCCCGCCCCCCTCTGCGTTCACACTTGCAGGCTTTACTGTCTGCTTTGACAATAATGACGCCGATGAAGTCTAAATCGATTAGCGTATACAAAATTCAACCGATGAAGTCACTGAACCAATTTAAACAATTCCCATCGCTATATTTCTTATATGGTTTCAAATCTGATATTTTGAGTCTTAAGGCAGCTTTATAATATTTTATGCGATTTAAGAAAGAGCTAAAATGGGAGTGCATATTTAAACTATCGGCAAATGTCTGGGGACTAACAGCCATAAGCTTACAAAAATATTTTCTTATTTTAAAAAGAGAAATAACATTTAACTTCTCTACACCTATTCTCCCACCAAAACTTGATTTACTTTATTCAAGGGAATTGATCAAGAATTGAGATTTAATCAAAAAGGTATTTTACTCACACGAAATAGGACAACCGCAGAATTACTGTAGCATTCTCCTGTTTTGTCCAATATTAACTTGTCATTATACAAACCTCTTTGCGGGTCAGGGTCTCGTAACACAACTAGCGTCATTGAATCACCCGCATCCTGTAATTCTGGCCCACTTTGCCTAAACATTTTCATTGTTGTGCTTGCTATCTATTTGAGCCAAGTCGCCTGGCCGGCCCCGCCCATAACGGCCAGGTGCAACATGGATGACGCAGTACCCTGTGGGTTTTTCTTTGGCTACACCATTTACGCAAATGGGAGTCGTAAGACGACCAGTGGCTTTTTATAGTTCGGTATTTATAGACCACCCACTGTGCGTGGCACTTTACACTTGACCAGCATCGCCTGACATTGGCAAGGCTAATTTACTTGCCACTGAGCCAAAGAATTAGAATTCGCGAGCCGCAAATAATTTCGCACATTAACCCACAATCGGGGCGTGGAGCTGAGAGCTGAGAGCGGAGAGGAGGCGGCGGAGTAATCTAATCGTTAATTGGCACACTAACCCCAAACAGAAATTGCGCTGCCATTGGCCCCATTCCACTCTGGCTGATAAAAATAGTTTACGTTTTATCAAGGTTATTTGCCAAAAAATAGCAAATAGAAAAAATCAAACAAAAGCGAAAACGAAAGTGGGAGCCAAAGCAAAACGAGTGCGAGGGTGTGTGAATAGATAGCCCGCGCCGAATACAATTGGGAACGACCTTGAGATAATGCCCTCATTTATGCAGTTGATATTTGTTTATTTACCGTCAAACAGTAGGTTAAATTGGAAGAATGGAAAAATTCTTCGCGTGCTGAGCAGTAAACTGTGCGATATTGGGTGCTCCTCAAGTAAAATTGTTAATTAAAAGTACAAAATATTACCAAAAATATATTTAGGCTTCCATAAAAACAATTTAAAAACAAACACATGAATGGAAATATTTTTCGATATTACCCAAAAACTATCTAAAGAAACACAATGATACAGTATAAAGATCTTTTGATTGCCACAATTTTGTCTAGTATACGTTTCAGTCTACAAATACAGATTCTGCAAATATTTTATAAATAAGTCAAAAATAAAAGACAAACTGTGTTTGCAGGTCAGTGTGCAATGGGTTTTAAAGATCGTGGACCCTGCCGAAGGATTCCAAAGGCATCTCAAGATTAGATCAGATAAGGTCCCAGGCTTATGAAAAATGCCGAGTAGCGGGCCGGCGGTCCCCAGACAGGGAAAATGTTTGTTTACCCAAAAATTAGGGTCATGGCTAGAGACGTCGCTCGGCGTTGCCGTCCCGCTATCAAGTGTCGTCTACGTTCTGTTCTCTGGTTGCGAACGTGTATCTGTGCCGTGCGAAAGCGAAAAGATACACCCAGACACTCTCATCGGCAGTCGGCCTGTCTCGGGTAAAGGGAGGAGGAGGTGGAGCAGTAAGTGTTCATGACTCCCATTCTAATTTCATTTAAATGCCCCCTACGTACAGACGTGCTGCTATCTCGCTCCCGGCCGCCCCTTGTGGCACCCCCTGAATGCCAGACGAAAATTTCTATATACTAAATTGCAGCCGACGGCGGCCATTTTGTTTTTACTTTTATTTCGTCTGTTTTTTGGCAAAATTTCATGATGCCTTTGTATTGCCGAATCGTGGCTGTGGCTGTGGTTGTGGCTGGTGTGACTGTGTCTGCCCAGCGCCCGCCGCTTCCTCCCCGCAGCCCCTTGTACGTGAGTGTTGAATATAGCTGCGACACGCCCCGCACGGCCCCCACTCACACACGCCTTTATCATAATCATCGTCATTGTGGCTTGTTTTGCGAAGCGCAAAAACGTGTTGCCATCGCTTTTATTTTTTCGCTTTTTGTTGATATATTTTACGAACTTTTTATTTGTTGTTATTGTGGGGTAAATATTTGAAATTCTCTCGGTTTGCCTGTCTATGTCAGTAATTTTTGTTTTTTATTACTCTTTGCATCTGTGTTGTTGGAAAAAGAACCAAACAATATTAAAATAATTGGGAAGAACAAGAGAACACCAGTTTTACAAGGACTGTATTAAACTAGTATCCCAGTCTACAATGTAATACAAACAAATACACAATAAATAATTGCTTAATTTTACGTTAACATCCAACCAACGACCTATAATACGATAGAAATACAGAACAAGTCACATAGCGTGCAAGAAGATGGAATTCTACAGACCTATTCCCCGTGTCACATATAAAAACTTATATAGCAAACAAGCTAGCAAGTAATAGACAGCACAAATTCTCGTGCTTGCCAACCGGTCCTGTGGCGCAATGGATAACGCGTCTGACTACGGATCAGAAGATTCCAGGTTCGACTCCTGGCAGGATCGAAAATAATTTTTTTTTCAGTCAACTAAAGTTAATTTACGAAAGAACACTAAATCTTACAAAAACAAATTAATTAAATTAAAAAATGTATTTTCGCCCAACGTGGGGCTCGAACCCACGACCCTGAGATTAAGAGTCTCATGCTCTACCGACTGAGCTAGCCGGGCACTTGGTAAGATGGGCAGCATTAAGGCCAGAAGTTTGTGTTCCTTTTGCGTGAGCAACAACGTAAAATTAAGATAAACACAAAGTAGATAAATTTATACTTTTTTGAGTGCGCTCACTTGGTTGGACTAAGCTCACATTGCGTATGCGCAATCCAGTTCTTAGCACATTTGGGTCAAACTAATTATCAAATTGTATCAACGACTTTGATGAGTGGTCCGTGGCAAAGATACTCAGAATGAATGTGATCAGTGCTCGTTTTATTACATGTTCCCCCGCTATTACACGATAATTTGCGGACTCTTTTGCTTAATCTGCTGAGGCACTGGGGGAAATTTCATTTCATTCAGTGTCGCGACTCTCGCTATCCGATTCTCTCTCTTAGTTGCTCACAACTATTCATAGATTTCTATTTCATTTTCACCCTGACCCACCGCAATAGTTTTTATATTGCTTCGTCTACCCCTTTTCTCAGTCGACAGCTGCAACAATAACAATGCCAACTATTTATGGCAAAATTCATTCGCTTGGTTGGTGTTGTTGCTAGCTTTCTATCAGAGTTTTTGCCATTGCTCTTGATTTAGTTTATTATTGTTTGTTGCTTTATAGTGTTTCTTTCTCTCTTTGGCTTCTGTTTTGTTTTTTCTTTCGCGGTTCATTGAGTTCCCCTGCGATAACCGTCAGAAACCATAGCCACACGCACAATTTACTACACACAGAACGAAAAAAAACGCCAACAAATAAAGCCGACTTTTAGCAAGTGCGAAATATTTCGCTGCAAACAGTGCGTGTGTATTGGGTGCGGTGCGTATACGCAATGTATGAATCATATTACGCATACGCCACATTGTCTGCGGCGGACAGAACGATATGGTTTTTTATTTGACTGAATTTTGTCCGCTAACCATTGCAATATATGTGTTTTTTCAATTTGCCCCAATGCAAAAATTGATTGGAGCGACCCTTATATCTTCATTTTTCCATTTTTCGACTTTCTCTGTTTCAACGTTTGTTTTGTAGTCCCGTTTTTTCATTTACTGCTTTTTGTTGGCCTTTGTTCTCAAATTGTTTTTTTCT